CTTCCCCCCTTACACCTTCTCACCACTTTTCATGCATTAGTTTTGACAGTTAGGAGGCTGTGTAATCTTTACTTCCAACATCAAGAAGGCACAGGGATTTAGGGTGGCTAGGTGAGGCAAGGCAAGCAAGCAGGACCGTCTCTTTAGTAACTCCAAGTTGCTTTGGATTTGATGTAATGTGAAGGTGAACCCTAAGGCCCCAAACCCATCATCATTTCAAACCTAGGTGATTCTGTGTAATGTCTGGAGCCACTTTTGACCTGATAGAGCGACTTGTAGTTGGGGAACAGTGGTTGAGGAGAGTCACAAGGCTGCCAGTGCTACGTGATTACTTTTCAGAGATGAAAAATATTTAGGACTCATTGGCGGTATCCTGACTGTTGGATTGTGTCCAGCTTTACATTTAATAAGGTACTGTTTTTTATCAACATTTTAGGAAAGGAATAATTTGAGTCATAGTCACAAAGAGGTAAGTATAAGCATGATTATTTTGTAGACATTTGCATTTAAAAACATGTGAAACTCTGTAAAAGGACTAATGACTAAAACTCACCGTTTCCAAATTGTACATTATTTTTAAATGAAAAAGTCACTGAATTCAGCCCCCTTCTCAAGATAGCTTCTCGGATTTCATCAGGATGGTTTGCAGAAAAGTAAATGAAATAGCAATGATTTTGCATCTACAAGGTACTGTATCTATCACAGCATCTTACACATGCAAATCTTGATATGGTATATTAAATACATATTATATCAGATTCCTGAGATGCCTGATTAGTTTTAATGTCAGTAGGGTGTGGTTTTGCAGTTGGCTGTTGTTGGTTTCTAAGAGTTCACATTGCTCAAAGGAGATGACCTGCAACTTACCTTGTTGGCACCTGGGATTGTGTGGGCTGCGCAGTGAGTGGGAATCAGCTCATGGATCCTACAGGATGCTAATTTGGGGAGGGAGAGAGGGGAAGAGAGGCAACCTGTTGTGGCAGAGTAGCTAGACCTGACCTGCCCCTTCTGGCAACAACCTGGCTTACCGAGATCGGTCATGAAACCACAGGCAAAGTCTTCTCTGAGGCAGAAGCGTAACTACAGTGCTTCACTACTTGCCTACAGGACTGAGAGCCTTCAGGGTGTTACAGCAGAGTTTCTGCTTTGGGTTAGAAATGCTAACGAAAAAAATACTGAAATCACGTTTAATATATTTTTTGATTAAAAATGTCCATTATTACTGTGCAGTTTGTTAGGAGTCTCCTTTGTTAGAAGTCTGATTAAGTTTACTATGATAAAAGTATCTGATTTTTCAAGTCTTTTTCTGTAAAGTAAGACCTAAGCTTGCAATCCTAGAATCCTAGAATCATAGAATATCTTGAGTTGGAAGGCACCCATAAGGATCATGGAGTCCAACTCTGCTCCTCGCAGGACTACCTAAAACTAAACCATATAACTAAAAGCATCGCCCAGATGCTCCTTGAACTCTGACAGGCTTGGTGCCCTGACCACTTCCCGAGAGAGCCTGTTCCAGTGACAGACCACCCTCTCAGTGAAGAACGTTTTCCTAATGTCCAGTCTGAACTTCTCCTGATGCAGCTTCATTCCATTTCCTCGTGTCCTATCGCTGGTCTCCAGAGAGAGGAGATCAGCACTTCCCCCTCCACTGCCCCCCTTGAGGAAGTTGCAGGCTGTGATGAGGTCACCCCTCAGCCTTCTCTTCTCCAAGCTGAACAAGACAAGTGACCTCAGCCACTCCTCGTAAGTCTTGCCCTCGAGACTTTTCACCGTCTTGGTCGCCCTCCTCTGGACACGCTCTAATAGTTTGATGTCCTTCTTATATTGAGGTGCCCAAAACTGCATACAATACTCAAGGTGGGGCTGCACCAGTGCAGTGCAGAGTGGGACAGTCGCCACCCTTGACCAGCTAGCTATGCCATGCTTGATGCCCCCCAGGACATGGTTGGCCCTTTTGGCTGCCAGGGCACAGTGTTGACTCACGTTCAACTTGCCATCAACCCAAACCCCCAGATCTCTTTCTGCAGGGCTGCTCTCCAGCCTCTCATCCCTCAGTTTGTACATATAACCAGGATTACCCCGTCCCAGGTGGAGAATCCAGCACTTGCTCTTGTTAAATTTCATACGGTTGGTGATTGCCCACTCTCTAGTCTATCCAGATCTCTCTGCAAGGCCTCTCTACCCTCAAGGGAGTCACAGCTCCTCCTCGTTTAGTACCATTGGCAAACTTAATTAATGCACATTCAGCTCCTGTGTCCATGTAATTTATAAAAACATTAAAGACCACCGGCCCTAAAATTGAGCCCTGGGGAACCCCACTGGTGACTGGCCACCAGCCTGATGTAATCCCTTGTACTAGAACTCTTTGAGCCCAACCTGTCAGCCAATATTCTTGGGTTTTTTACATTAGCTAATAGGTCAGCAAGATCTTTCAGAAGTTTGTTAGGTTGTCCTTAGCTTAATTGGACTCTTTTTTTTTTTTTTTTTAAATGGCTTAAATTTTACTCATGAGCTAAGGAGCCTCTTGAATTTTTTTAAGTGCTATTTCTGTGAAAGGTTTACTTCACATTCATGAGTGATAGGTAACTGGTTTCCCATTTAATACTTGTCATTATGTTGAATGTTCACATTAACCTTTTGTGATGTATGCTTTCTGTTGATGTAAGTAAACTATTACGCCAATCACTTAAGTGAGAAACATGGCTTTTAGTCTTGTTTCCTGTAGAAACAAACATACACTTTGGATTCATTTCGTATCAATGTAAAAAGTTGTCCTTGGTCTCATGGACAGCCTTGATGGGGCTCCTGGAAAGGGGTAGGAAGAGCATTGGTGGGAGGAACCAGATGCTGTGCTGGAGGAATTGATTTTCTTTGTCCTCTTAAGAGCCCCTGAAAAAAAACTTACTCCTAGCACTCATTAAGGTGCAGATGCCCTTAAAAGAATAAAAAGGGAAGAGGAAAAGGAAGGAAAGGAGCGTGGAAATTGAGTGCTACCTGCTGAGGCTGGAGCAGTTCTGAACGGATCTGTAACTTCACTGGGTGAGTTGGCAGCTTTGAGTGACAATGTACGCGGTTAGGGTGAAAATCAGCAATAAACCCACTATGGATATGAAAGGAGCCATTGCCATGTATCAGAGAAGGACCGGTTCCTTGCGACCCTGTTTTCTGTGCAAGGTTTCCTCTTTTGATGAGGATAAGGATAATGTATTTCCCTCATATTTCTCACTATCATGAAGGTTGTACTGGGTTTGGCTGGGATAGTTAGTTAATTTTCTTCACAGTAGCGAGTATGGGGCTGTGTTTTGTATTTGTGCTGAAAACAGTGTTGATCATACAGGGATGGTTTCGTTATTGCTGAGCAGGGCTTACACAGAGTCAAGGCCTTTTCTGCTTCTCACCCCACCCCACCAGCGAGTGGGCTGGGGGTGGATAAGAAGCGGGGAGGGGACACAGCTGGGACAGCTGGCCCCAACTGACCCAAGGGCTATTCCATACCGTATGCTGTCATGCTCAGCAATAAAATTGGGATGGGGGAAAAGTTTGCCAGGGCTGCTGTTGCTCAGGGACTGGCTGGGTATCGGTTGGCTGGTGGTGAGCAACTGGGTGTTTTTGTATCACTTTTTCATTTGGGGTTTTGGGTTTTTTTTTTGTGTTTTTGTTGTTGGTTTGATTTGGTTTGGGTTTTTTGGTTGTTTTTTTAGCTTATTAAACTGTCTTTACCACAACCCACGAGTTTTTTTTACTTCTACCCTTCTGCTTCTCTCCTCCATCCCACCTGGGGGTAATGTATGAGCAGCTGTGCAGTGCTTAGGTGCCTAAGCTCCATTTGGAATACAGGTACTACTTCTCATAACACAAACCAGGATTTACAGCTTTGGTGACTGTATTTATCTGAGTCTTGGGCTGGTAGCAGACACTATATCCCATACCACTCTCTTTATATTTAAGGTGGAAGAGTCTATTAGAAACATTTCTCATAGGAAGTGATCAAAAATAATGAAGTAGAAATCTTTTAGGTCACGCTGAAAAAACTAAACGAAGTTGTATAGCCATCTTTAAACTTAGTGTAGAATTTTTAAACTGGATAAAAATGTTAGCCCCGCTTTCATTAAGCGTGGTTACAAGTACCTGTTAGTCTTCCTGACGTGAATGTCTCTTAGCAGTCCCTT